TTTAACTAGGGTTATCTTTGTAAGTAAGTAGGAAGTTTTTCTTTCCAGTAAATTATTTTTGCTGGAAAGAAAAGAAAAATAATCCTTCAGCGTCAAACCTTTCTTACTACTTCAGTGAATATAAAATCACATTATCTTTGTTCCCCTAGATCCTGTTGTTACATCCCACAGTATGGTCAAGTCTGATGGGATTTAGATATTATTGTAGATCTATTTTGGCTGATAGTATTTGGCTCCAACTTAATATACACAATGCATTCTGCAGTCCTAACCCTAAGTACATCCCTTGAAGTATTTGTTTCTCCCTCCTCAATTGCATTCTCAAAACAAGACTCTGACTTGCTTATACCAGAGAACAGAAATGATTGCACTAGACATGTAGACCTGTGTAGTGCCCTAGTGGATACTAGACATGGATCCAGTAGTATAATGGATACTAATCATTTTTAAATGTGTTGATGTTCAGACTTAAAAGTACCAGTTTGATGTCTGTCTTTTTTCATTATCAACCAGTTAAGGAAAATAGGCTACACTCACCAAGCTTTTTCAAACTGCATATATTTAAATTATTTTGTTCACATTCCAGAGTGCAGTCCCCTTCTCTCCTCACTTGACCCAACCCACAGCCCAGTGATAGTTTCACCTACAGGGACAATGATAGAAGTGTGTATGTCACTTGGAAAAAGGCCAGTCACCACTGTTAAATAGTTGGATGTTCTATACACTGATAATGGACGATGATGTTAGATGATAGTGTACACCAAGGAGATATTTTTGTTGTAATTAAATGTGTATGTGTATTACATACATGTATTCTCTAATTTTGTTTACAATTTATATTACTTTTCTATGAGGACAAAAATAAATAAAAATAATTATTGACTTGTTTTATTTCTTGTGAAGATAATGTAGCAATTTTTAATTATAATGTCATAACACACTCCTGTGTCATGATCAGCTATTTGGTGTTTTGCAAGTAATTTGTTAAAGTGTTGAAATTTTCTGATTATTTGTTTATAAAGGAGAGCAGATTGAGGGTTAGGAACTTTCACTTACTTTCATTTAATTACACATTCTCAAATTAGCAAGAAATAGTTGGAGTTACAGATAACCTGGCGTGAACTGTCACAACCTGCAGGATTTTCTTCCTACAACCTCTTCCATACCCATGAGAACTTGTGGAGTCTGTAGATATCTGTCCAGTGTTCCAAGGCAGAGAAAGGTTAGTGGTCTAACAGACAGGTGTCATTTATAAATCCTCACAAATCAATCCTTAGTAACCCTTTGATGCATAAAATTCCTACCTTTGTTTAATATCATGATATATAGTTATGAAGTTGTTTGAATTCTCCACTGTCTTTGTGTTGTTTATGTTCTCTGTTTTCTTAAGTAAAAATAAAGTTTTGTCTTTTGCTGCCATATATATTAATTTTTCATCTCTTATCAACTTGAAAATATTAAAGACTATTTTCTCCCCAAGAGATCATCATTTCCTTTGCTCATCCTGGGAAGCTAATCCAGAATTTAGATTCTTCTGTGATTTTTTAGATCATTGTTCAAGACTTGGTATAATTCTACAGGTTTCTCCCTTATTTTCCTCAATTCCAATCAACCTGTCATAGAAAAAATGGCCTTTACATAAATGTTACTCCTCAGTCTACCTGTACTAATGGGGTGGTTTTAAAGGGTATTTTTGACACAATGGCCCTGATAACAGAGAAAGGAAAAAAAAGATACAGTCAACTTGCAACTGTAAAGAACTCAAAGAGGTAGTAAGGAGAGGATGAAGTTGAAAGTAGAAATTACACCATCTGGACAATCCTCAATATTATCTAATGGCAACAGCACCATGTCCTCCCCTCCAGGCTCTCCCCTATACCTTAGCGTTTAGAAACCTAAGAACTACATTTCCCCAAACCCCTGCCAGCAAGGGAATATTAAGAAGGAGAGGATGAAGTTGAAACTAGAAATTACACCATCTGGACAATCCTCAATATTATCTAATAGCAACAGCACCATGTCCTCCCCTCCAGGCTCTCCCCTATACCTTAGCGTTTAGAAACCTAAGGTAAGGAGAGGATGAAGTTGAAAGTAGAAATTACACCATCTGGACAATCCTCAATATTATCTAATGGCAACAGCACCATGTCCTCCCCTCCAGGCTCTCCCCTATACCTTAGCGTTTAGAAACCTAAGAACTACATTTCCCCAAACCCCTGCCAGCAAGGGAATATAACTCAAGATATATTCCAAAAATGAGTTACACTCACATAAATTTTGGAAAGCAGAAGCGAAGCAAGGAAACATCTAGGAACTAGAACAAGATGTGAGAATTAATCAAATATGTAGGATAAAGAGACAGAAGGGTCAAGAGTGACTCCAAAGTGGAAGGCTTTGGGGACCTGGGCATATAGTAGTGTCATGGCTGGAACAGGAATACAGGAAGACAAAGTGGGAGTGGCATGGCTGTGCATAAAAATGGCAGGTTCTGTTTCAGACACGTGGAATTGATCTGCCACTGAGATGCCCATGGAATATGTTATAGCGACTGATAGAGATACATACTTGAAGTTCAGTAGAAAGGTTTGGTCTGAAAAATACAGATTCAAGTATACTCAGAATATGGATTATAATTGCAGCTGTAGGAGTGGATCTACTAACTTGGGTTCAGGTAGAGAACAGAAAGAGCTGGACTAAGCATGGAGAATCCACCTTTATTTTCCTTTTTTAGTTGCAGCAAAGCCTTAGCGTTTGTCTCAGACAGGAACTCTGATATAAAATTTCATACAATTTCTCAATTTTTTTTATTTCAACAATAAAATCACTACATAAAAAGATATTTTATTAATGAATTGACATAATTGGATCAAATATATGTTAATTGAATAATTAGATTATAGTAATTAACTACCACAGCAGGTGATATAGTAACATATACATTTCGTACTGTGTAAGAATTTTCCAATGGAGGGAACATTGACCCCCAATTTTCTATTAGCATCTTAAGCAAAGTAAAAGATGAAAAGCTTCTTGGACAGTTATTCTGAATCTGACAGAAAAATGAATTATTCAATTACATGATACATTAAAGATATACATTAATTTTTGGTTGACTTCTTAATGTGTCTTCCATCTAACCTAACTTGTATTGTTTTCGTCCTTTTTTAGTATTCCAAAAGTGCAGTTCAAGACCAGTCTTTTATTTCTAGCATGGAAGGAATTTAGTAAGAGCCATAGTATGAATTTTAAATATGAGGGGTCTTCAAGAAGTTCATGGGAAGGTTTGTTTTATTTTTCAATTTTATTTTTCCATGAACACTTTGAAGTATCCTCATACGTTCATAAAATAAAGCTCTCCAGTTCATAAAATTAATGTTCTAACTAAATATATTATACATGCTGAATTTATTTAAAATTTAAGGAATATATATTCACAAATTCCATCATATTTACAAGTACATGACAACAATGAAAATTCTTTAACAGCATCCAAAGTACAACTGTTTTAACATCTCAATTATTTTTCATGAACATAATAGGGTTTCAAGCATATTCTGTTGAATACTGTTGAAATAAAAATTATATTCATAACATAATTAAATAAAAAATACTGTAACATCTATGTTCTACTATTTATGGGTACAATTGTATTGCAAATATATTCATAAGTTATCCCCCAAAATATAACTAATTATTTCAAAAAGAGGATAAATAACTTATGTAAAATTGGTTGAAATAGAACAAGATGGAGTCCATCCAATGTTTTGAGTATTTCTTACCAAATGGGTCCATTTTAATAAAATTATATTGTTTTATTATGAATGGGTCTATGGAAGATGAATTTCAACAAAAATAACACTGTAGTGTTCTGTAAACACATTAGAGCTATGTACACATGTGCAAAAATTGCTTATAGATAACTATAAAGTGTTACAAAATTCCACAAAAATTATTTTCTAATCTGATTTAATTTTTAATGCAAACTCAGCTGTAACGTAGGAATAATAACAGAAATCATACATGTTCAAAAAGTTATACCAATTAGCAATGATTAAATGTATTAAGTTGTATGCTTACTTGTTATCTAAATAGTATCTATATAGAACAGGAATAACTTGAAATGAAAAATCAAATAATGGTTTACATTTCTTGTAATTCCAAGGATATCAGCCTTTGACTCTGAGTTGAAGAAACTCTCATCAAAAGTGCATTTGGTTTTAAGAACAATTGTCTCACTGTTAAGGATTTTCCCCATCATTTGCCAAAATATTAATTATACAGCAAATTTCAGTTTATTTCCTTGAAGTCATTCAAATGGTTGGCAACCTTTACCTTCAGTGTTCTCCGATGGATTTCCGTTTGGATTTCATCCAAAACACAATAAAGTAGAGCATTTGGATTTCATCCAAACACAATAAAGTAGAGCTTGTGGCTCCCTGGAGAAATTCGTGTTCAGTCCTGTTCATCAGATGAGGAGGGAGCTGTGAATTACTCGGCATCCACAGTCCAGATCCTGATGTGATTTATTTATCCACCGCCTTTCAGCAATGCTGATAGTTTGGATTTCATCCAAAACACAATAAAGTAGAGCTTGTGGCTCCCTGGAGAAATTCGTGTTCAGTCCTGTTCATCAGATGAGGAGGGAGCTGTGAATTACTTGGCATCCACAGTCCAGATCCTGATGTGATTTATTTATCCACCGCCTTTCAGCAATGCTGATAATGTCAATTCCTTGTTCAGGTTTCCTTCACCTTGGCAGTCAGAAGTATTTCTCTCTGCTTTTACTCATAATTCAACCTACCATCCAAGCAACCGTAAGCCAACCACTTCGTTGCCCTACCTCTGAATACAAGTACTTTCATCTAGACACGGCCAGCCAGGTTTCCAGGAATTACACTGAAGATGCTTCCATTTAGAGGCTCTTTTTCCTCCTTAAAATGGGAAATCAGGATGCACCCGTGAGCCCTCATCAGCCAGACTGATAGGTCTGGTCAGAATTCAACCATACATTTTCACGCCCTGGTTTCCTTAAACGTTTGCGGCTTCTGTGAAAGAGTCACTGGGGCCATTGTTCTTTTTGACTTCCAGGTTCTTTTTAGCCTTAAATGTCACGGACACCTCAGAGTGAATGGCGTCCAACCTCTGCTCACAGCGGAAGGCTGAGAGGAAAGCCTTTCTGTAGTTGCTGTTCATCCAGCCATAGAGAAGGGGGTTGGCAAAGGTGGAGCACATGGCGATGATGTGCAACACCGTGAAGATGAGTTTGTACTCCTTCAGGTCCAGGACCTGGCTATCAATGTCGACAGCAAGTTGGAAGGCATGGAGAGGCAGCCAGCTGACGGCAAACACCACCACCACACACACCAGCATTTGGGTGGTTTTTTGTCTTCGCTGATGGTAGTGGTCATTAGCAGCTCCAGGGCTGACATGGTTCTTCAGTTTACTCCAGATACGAGTGTAGGAAAAAGATATGATGCCCAAAGGCAAAACATACAGGATTAACAAGGAGGAAAGACTGTAGACAGTGCCATAGATGCTCTTCTCTTCACCAGGCCACTTCTCAGTACAGGCTACAATCTCAAAGTCTGGAATAATCTCAATCAGGGAATACTCCCGGAAGATGGCCAGGGGACTTGCCAGCAGGGCACTGATGCCCCAGGCCAAGCCAATAATCAGGAAGCTGATTTGCTTGGAGATCTTGCTCTCCAGGTGGTAGACAATACACCGATGCCGGTCCAGGGCAATTACGGTCAAGGTGATTGTGGACACCTGTACTGCCAGGCCCTGGGCATAGGGCACCAGGTGGCACAGGACAGGACCCATTTTCCACTCCCCCATTAAGGTGTAGGTAAGAGTGAATGGTAGGCACAGGGTGTTCACCAAAAGATCTGCCACAGCCAGATTGGCAATGAAAAAGTTAGTTACTGTGCGCATGCTCTTGAATTTGATCACCACATGGATCACCAAGGAGTTGCCAATTACTCCAAGCAAGATGATGGAGCTATAGGCCAATATGAGGACCACCTGCACCTCAATCAGCTTGGTGCTATCTATAAGTTCTGGCTCAGCGTCAGGGGCCAGCTCACCTCTAGGAGTGGTTTGCTGTGGCCCATACTGCTCCACCTTCATTTCTTCCACTGTCTGGTTCTCTTCAGCCTCTGCACCTACTGGGCCCATTTTCAGGACAGTTCTACTTGACCTGAAACCCAGCACAAGAATCTACAATGAAAAGAGACAAAACAAGTATGGAACAAGGAAACACCAAGGTGAAGCGAAGAAATATCACAAAAGAACTGGTTTAATTTTGGTTTGTCCTCAAAATATCTGTCCTCTGATTCCTAAAATTGCACATAGTGTAACATTTTAATAAAACAGGTCCTTTTGTAAGTCAATTCACAAATATGAATCAATTAAATCAGGTCCTTGAAATATATACTATGATGGCAAAATGTGATATCTATAGTAGAGACACAATTCCAATGTGAATGCTACCAAATGGATTCATTTTAAGAGAGATGAATATTATAAACTTTACCGATTTTATAGCTGCTATAAATTCATTGAATTAATTTTATGGTAGATAAAGAAAGGAAAGTTTTCTTCAATATTATGACTGTCTTAAATTTATAAACATATACAGAGACAAACTTTGGGAGTATAAAATATCTAAGATAAACTGCACAGATTCTCTTTCATAGCCATTTTTTCTAGTGTAGGGGTTAGTATTAAAAATAAGTAGCCTGTGTGGCACAGTTGCTTTTTTGAGTGATCTGAAATAAACTTCCTACCTAACATACAGCTTTCTCGGCTTTCTCATCTCCTTTGCCTCCACATGTAAGAGAACCCTCAGCCTGGGGTCTTACAGATCTCTCCACCCGTCTCCTGGTCATCATTTCTACCACACTGGTTTTGTTCTTCTCAGTTTCTTGCCATAATTACTCTAATAGTCTGCTAACTTATCTCCCTTTCTCTTCTGCATTCATTCATTCATTCATGCATTCACTTAACAGATATAATTGAGCGTCTACTAGATGCAGGCATGGCTTTATCACTGTGGTGCTTACACCATTCAAACATAAATCTATCAAGCATTTAAAAACCTTTGCCATGAACTAGGCTTTGTGCTGGGTGAAAAGGCAAAAGGGTAGTAGCTCTACTCTAAGGCTCTTATACTTCACAGAACAGAGCCTATGGTCATGTTAAAATGTTTTTTCTGAAATTCAGATGTATTCCTATTATTTTCCCCAGTGTCTCCAGATTCCTTAAAACAATATAATACATTGTTTTCAAATATAAGTTTCCTTTTTTCAGTCTATAAAAACATTTAAAGCCCAATCATAGAGGCAGCATATAGTGAATATATTCATAATCATAAAAGGCTGCTGCTGTTCATTTCTGAATTTCAGAACCTCTTTTAAATGAATTTGCTAAAAAATAACAATGGCATCTACCTCCACAAGTAGGTGAGTCATATTTATTCAGCCCACAGGCAATGCCTGCCGGGGCTGTGCGCACCAGCTCCATTCCTCACCTACCCCTGCTCTGTTCTGCTCTAGACCACAGGAGGGCTAACTTTTACAGACTACATTTTCAGGCTCCCAAATCAAGGGAATTCTGGCTGGGTTTGGTCAATGGAAGGTCGCACCAGCTCCATTCCTCACCTACCCCTGCTCTGTTCTGCTCTAGACCACAGGAGGGCTAACTTTTGCAGACTACATTTTCAGGCTCCCAAATCAAGGGAATTCTGGCTGGGTTTGGTCAATGGAAGGTGCTGGCAGGTAGATTGAGGACAGAAGGAAGGGAGAAGTCACTATATTCTCTCCTTCCCTTTCTGCTCTGGGCAATGCCTCAGCAGCTCTGGTTTCCACAGGACAGACCCACTGTGAGCCTGTTTCCCGTGGATGGCTTCAATCACACCACCTCTTCCCCGTGTTCCTCCAGCTGGAGGTAGTAATGACTCCCTTTTCTTGCTGATCCCTGGGTAACCTCCACTTCCTGTTTGACTTCCATCACTTGTGTAACCAATTTCTGCCAATTAAATTCTTTCTCCTTCACATTCTTGAATAGATTGTTTTGCATTTTCTTGCTGATCCCTGGGTAACCTCCACATCCTGTTTGACTTCCATCACTTGCGTAACCAATTTCTGCCAATTAAATTCTTTCTCCTTCACATTCTTGAATAGATTGTTTTGCATGATCTGATAATAGCACACATACATGCTTTCAGTCATTTGTTCTCCCACTGAAGGGCCTGTACCCACAGGTTGGTCATACTGGCCTATAGAAGAAAATCCCAACTTCTTAATATGACATTCAAGGCTTTTCTTGAATTTATCCCTGCACACCCCTCTGCTCATCTCTCCTGACATCCCAATATATATCTTCCGCTTCTGTTGTACTGACCTACTCCCAATGCCAGCAATACCTCACCTTTGCACACGCCTCTCTGCCCACCCTGTTATCAACCAGGAAGCCTCTCAATTACTCCAGCAACCTGTGCTCACTTCTAATGCTGCACGTGCCACGTGCCACAGTGTGATATCTCTCTGAGGACAGAAACTGGATCTTCTTCATCCATCATTAAATCCCTAGCATACTATCTAGCACATTAAAGGTACTCAATAATTTGGCAAGACATATAAAGCTAAAGGAAAACACAATCTTACTGAATAATTGATGTAAACAAAATATAAAGCATAATTTCGATTCTTTCCTTTACTGAAGATAACTGCCTGTACAGGATTCCTTGCTACGACAGGTCATGCTTATGATTATTTTCTTCTTAATCAGATAACTGTTTCTACCAGAAAGTTGTACTAAGACCTTCTTAAGTCAATTCCTGATTGTAACATTTTGTCAGTCTGAATATACTATAAACATTTCTATCTCCAGGGTTTCTCTCTTTCTCTCTCTCTCACCCTCTCTCTTCATTTCTCTCTCTCTCTCTCTCTCTCTCCTCTCTCCCTCTCGTTCCCCCATTCCCCATAGGAGCCTTAGCACACAGAGGGCTATGACAATTTCTAAGTACTCATGTATTTGCTATACTCATATATTCTACTTCCCTCCGCATAAACTTGAAAGAGAATGTTCCAAGGAGCTCAGGCCTTGCTTCACACTTGCCTCCATCCCTTAGTAATTAGAGAAAATAGAAATAATCCATTCAAATCATGGAGTACACATTCGATTGTCCATATCATGTCTCTTAGACTAAGAGACTGATTCTATGGAGTACAATTAGTTAATCCTGACAAGTTATTAACAGTTAACGAGACTCCAAGAGATCAAAATTTGGAGGTGGTAGCAGAATAAATTGAGAGTAAGTATGAGATTGAAAGATATTAGAAGTGTATTTGATTTATTGATTAATTTTGCTTTTTCTTTTCAGCCCTAATCTATTTCAAAGTCCTTTTATTTAAAACTCCTCTGCAGGAATGGTTATTGATCTACAAGCTATTAGCATATGGACACTCAGCTGTCCTTAAGCACAACACTGGCCTTCAGACAGGTCAAAGCATCACCCAGAGCAGAGAATGTGTCATTTTATCACAGCACTTCTGGAAAAGTGGAAGAGGAAGTTGCCACACTAAAAACTCAAAAGCACAAAAATTAAACCATAAGCAAACAAGAGAAAAACCTTCCCTTGAAATAGGGAAAAAGGAGACCTTAACATTTTTCAAGATATTTAAGGAGAACCATGTGCGGTACTGTTTTCTTGAACAAGTGAATCTTTAGAAATATTTTTATAGAAATACAGAGTTTCAGATTTTCTTTTCCCAAGATTTAAAGAACCTCAAATAATCCGAGTCAGACGACCAGTTCATGCTTTGAGTACATATTTAAATCCATGGGGCTTTTTGCAATGGTACTTTTGGCAACAGTGTTGTCACAGGTTGGCTTTAGAAAAGCTTGACATCAAGCATGCCATCTTCCAGGAATTTCTTCCCAGAGAAAAATCCAAGAAATCATGCCACACTCCCTAAACTTGCCTGTACTTTTACTTGTGGGGTGAGGTGGTGGAGGGGTGAATGCTACATCCAAGACATGAGTGTTTGCCTAAGAAGTAGGAAGTTGAAAATATTTACCAAAGGGTCTGGGAATGTCTCCTCCTTGTATTTGAGCTTCCGGCCTTTCTTTGAAAACAGCATGGTCTATTTCATATCATTGAGTTTTAAATGAGGTGTCCCTACTGCAAAAAGTAGTAAAGTTTTAAGTTTTGCCACTTTCCCGCCCACTATACGCTCTCACCAGTGGGTGAACCCTCCTGGAGGAAAATGAGTGAATGCTTACATAAATGTGTCCCTTCTCGAACAGCTTTGGAGACTCCAGCACGACCTTATACCTTAGACAGGTGTTTGTTTTTTAAAGAAGAGGCAGATCAGTAACAACTTCCTATTCTGGACAGATAATGACCTGTCTCTAAGAAGGGTCAAGGGAACAGTCCAACCAGTAGAAAAGGAAAAACCTAGAGAACGTAGACAATGCGGATGGTATCGCACACGCCCAGCCCAACCCCCACCTTCCACCTCAGCGAGGGGGAGCCCATACACTCGTGAGGATCTCCTCCATGCCCTCCGCGCCCCTTTCGGGATATCCTTGTCCCCAGAAGGTGAATCAGAGTTCAGAATTACACTTACTGGCCGGCCCTCGCGTTTCTGCTGAGACGTGGAGGCAAGTCGTGTGCAGCCGGTCAGTCCGACGGTCACCTAGCCCTCCGACCCGGACAGCGCCCTGCAACGTCCCCAAAGGCAAGTCCCGTTCTACCCGCTCCGACAGTGCGGGGGCAGCCAGTGCGGGCGAGCGGCCGGGAGGCTGGCGCTGCTCGGCTGTGCCGCCGACCTCTGCGGCCAAGCGCGCCGGGGCCCCGCGCTGCGTCGCCGAACCGCCCGAGTGGGCGGGTGACAATGGGAGGGTCGGAGGTGGGGTCGCTGAGCGGGGGGCCGCCCCCTCCCTTGGAGAAAGGAAACAGGTGCAGAGGCCGAGGCCGCGGGGCGACGCGCCGGCAGGGGAGGGACCTGGATGGGAGGCTTGCGTGGCGAGAGAGCAGGGGACAGCGTCCACGGTCTCTCCGTTGCCTCCCGGGCTTCACGCGCGGACGGACCCTACCCAGCGCGGCGCCCGCTCGCGGGTCCCCGCCACCACCTGCAGCTGCTCCTCCCACCTCCCGTGCGACCCCCGAGTTTGATACTCTGGGGGGTTGCCCCACCCCTTCCTCTTTTCCCTTCCACCAACCCCTCTTGTTGCTCTCCGCTCCCCAGTTCCGCGAGAGATGTCCCGGCCAGGACAGACGCTCTAAACTCGAGCGCGGGTCACCAAATCCTCCCGGGAAAGGCGAGGAGAAAAGGCGGGGCGGACAGACTCAGCTGCGGGCGGGGGCCACGGTCTCCGTCACCTGCGCCGCGGGCGAGTGCAGACCTGGCGGGCGAGAGGCATGCGGGACGGGCAGAACCTCCGCGCCTTGCAGGGCTGAGAAACCCCCCAACTCCAGCTGGGAGTTGCTCCCTTCTTTCGCGTGTAGGAGCAGAGGTGGGGAGCGGGACCCGCGCAGCACCACG